AATTCTTGGAAAGCAAAACGAACTCATGTTGGTCGACCAACGCAACAAGATCAGCCCCCTACACTCAGGGAAGCCCACTTACAGCGTCAAGTCCAACATGGTCCAGATACAGGCACAGCACATCCCGGACATCATCAAGTTCAGCTTCGACGCTAGCGCCTTCACGGCCATTGGCGAAGTATTCCAGCAAACCTGTGGCACATCCATGGGAAACCAAATCAGTCCTATATTGTCAACCTGCACCATCGTCGCCACGGAGATTACATGGCCAGATATTCGGCCAGTACGTGAGCAGCGCCCACATGGCCGATCAGCTCTGGATCTGCCGGTACGTCGACAACCGCGCCATCATCGTCGACTCAGAAGAACTCCAACGCAATCCATACATATGGCAGCTAACATCTTTGCATTTCTACAAAAGGCCAGTACAACATGAGGATGAGAACTGCGACGACTTCTTGGGGTTCATCATCACTGACAACAACAGGCAAAATTACCTACAATTTGCATGCAGAACAGTGGAGATATAGACTCCCCCAGTCGGCGGGATCCATCAAACTCCGACTCAGCGGCTATCACAGCAGGCAGCACTTGATCGCAAACACAGCGTATCCCGCGGAGATCGCCAAACAGCAAGTTCTCGCCTTGGACAGCCTGTACTCCCGCCTCGGATACCGGGACTTTGCAGCTAGTGCCACTAAAACAAGGTCATTGAGCCCATATACGTTGACATGGTCACATGCCGTGCAATCAAGCATGTCTCTTGTGTCATTTGGCTTAGGGATTTCTGGGGTACGTTAAGTTTCAACCTCGCCGCTAACACGGGGCCAAAGCGAGCAGTGAAACGGAAGCGGAAGAACACGGCCACGGACCACAGACTCTGACATCGAAGACCAACAGACAGAGGTTGAACCACCAGAAAATGCCACATGCCCAGGAATGCCAACATCACCTTACGGAGCAGCACATACTTATATACGTAGTCGAGTGGATGTCTCAGCGATTGAACTCCGATTTCCTCAGAGTCTCTGCCCTATCTCGAAACGACTTACCATCCAGAGTATTCACCACTGGCACCATCTACCACGCCGGCACGATTGGACTCCGAACCAACACCACGAAGTACCCTTGGGCATCAGCCTTGTTGGCGCAGATGGTTCGCACACAACGTTCACAACCATTTCCCACTGTGCAACGTGAGCATGAAAGCCCACGCCGACAAGTACAACATGGCAGGATCATCCAACATCCTCATACCGTTAACGCTTTTTCGCAAAGGACAACTATGGATTGAAGAAGAGCAAACACCAGATCTATCCCTGTGTTGACAGCACCAAAGACGAAACTACACCCTGAGACTCCCAGGTATCGTATCGAGTTCAGCCTGTTCACCAAACATGCTACCGGTTCTTGGAAAGGCAACCGCATTGTGCTGTCGGCCTACACGACACTACGCGCGAACGAGATTACCACCAAGGACCGCAACTACTTGAAGACCCTCGGACCTCGGATTTAATTGACTGATTTAATTCAGTTCACCCTCTTCGAGAAACAATGCTTACAACCAAACAGTTACAGAGTTGAGCAACCTGGTCGACGTTACCAACTTTGCGAAGCCGTTTTTCTCAGGTTTTGGTGTTTTTCTGGTGTTGTTGTTAGTTGTCCGTCATACCTAATCTCTTTTCGGCATCACACCTGGAGCCGCCAGCGCGAAGAGCTCGCCTAGACCGCAGCGCAAACTTCGATCCACGAGGAGATCTTCCGGAGCGCCTTCAACTACACCAATTACCATCAAAGAGATCTTGGAACTGAGCCAACAAGTACATGTATGGATGTCAGACTTGCGCGGCTACGACCCGGACCAGAATCACAACGAGTCCAGGTTCAACAGACACTACAATGAGATTATTCTCAAAAAGTCTATACAAATCGTTGGCATTCATGGAAGAGCTTGCGATCTAGCCATCAAAACACAGCAGCTCTTCGCCCACGGCGTTTTTGAGTTGTCCTATGACATGGCAACTCTCGTCCACATGGCCAAAGTCAACAAAGCCACATAGAGCAAACGCAAAATAATCCTAATGGCCGAGAACATGGACATGAAAATTCACACCGACATCCCCGAGCGCTACAGGAAGATTGGCAAGTCCATCGACAGAGACGACGACTACACCCCTACGGACGTCCAGTGCTTCCTGTTCAACAAGCGCATGCACGAGTGGAACCATCAAAAGCTTTCTTTTCATCAATTCACAAATCTAGACGTTCGCCAAGTTCTTCCAGAACCCTGGGCGTAGAAAAACAAATCAAGAGAGCTTGAAGAGAAGCAAAAGATCATCCATCCGTATCACATCGGCAATTTCACTTTCATGTTGTTTGCTTTAACGCTCCGTTGCGCCGGCATCGTTCTCATTCAGGGCTGTTTTGCTTCAGGTTTAATACGCACTTAGCCCAGCAGCAGCAATCACCATGGCCGTCCTGGAACCAACGACTTACTCCCCATCGAGTTCTATCTCAACTACATCAGACGAGGAGCCCAACTACCGCATTGCCGAAGACATGCTCACCAACAAAACTTTGCTCAAACTTATTCTCAAATTCCATCACGAGATCCGTGTCAGGCTGGTGGTCATACACAATGAAGACAACTTGGAAACAAGGCAAGCCAGTCAGCACGTGGGTGACGCCATGGACTTACTAGCCGAACAGCATGGACAGGCCTACCACACGACGGTCATCCGAGACTACAGACCGCATCATGCGCTCTTCGAAAAGCTGCTCACACCTCAGGTGGTCAACAACCTTCTCCTCGCCAACATGCAAATTCGATGCACCACGACGGCAGCTACAATGAACATGCGGTTGACCCATGCCCTGCACTACCCCGCAGCAGAAGTCCAACACCTACGTCGTATGAGACCACGGCTACTTTTGGAAAGTCCACTATGCCCTTTTCCAGTATACGAGACCTACTAGACTATGTCATGCTGGACTACACCACTGGACGAGTGTTCAGTCATCACAGCGCGAAGTCTTGTCCCTGATCACCGGCGAGTAATAGTAGAAAAGACGAGAATGCGGCAATGCACCGGAAATGCGCAGAAACCTCAAGTTTTCTCTTGGCTGTGCTATTGCTCCAAGTAAAAAGCAGCACTCACTCAGCCACACTACAGCCGCTTTGCTCTCAGCAAACCTTCTTCATCATGCCGGATTCCTCCGCAGCGCGATCCAGGTCCCCGCAGCAAACGTGGAGGTACTACAGGTAGTCGGTCGACTGCGTCCGATGACACAAGACATGGTTTCCGGTCACCAGGGCATGGTTGTTCTCCCGGGAACGAAAAGACCGCGCACGAGACCAAGAGCAAGTGAGCCAACCCGAGAAGGGCACGCCTGCGCCTTCTCCGATTACGCACCATACATCGGAGACCACCTCACCCATGAGGAAGAGGAAGCTTAATCGCACTCCCTGAATCACGGGATGAATAATTGATATTTTGCTGAGCCTCCAGACGTTCAGCCTGTATTGATGGGAGCGACAAGATCGCCGTGGGCGGCCAAGACATGATCCGCAATTAAAAGTTCCTTCCTCAACGAGGTGTATGTGTGTGGGGAACCCAAACTACAACGGGAGTGCAAGAGAAGTACAACGAAATGCAGGGGGTGCCATGGATGCATGCCGGACTGGCACCAACGAAGACGCCAGCATTGCATCTGTGAAGCGAGTCAGGACGCTGACTCGTGTACCCGCAGAACGTTTGTGACGTAGTCGTATTGTTAGCTGTATATGGTGAGCATCATGTGATATCTTCGCTGTGCTAATCAGGATCCTTGGCTTCTCTCCTAGTAAACAGCAGCAACGTAACCAAAGCCTATTGAAAGACCTCCCACAAGATTTCCTTTTGATGTCTCAGATGAGTCTTGAACTCTCACGCCGGGGCAGCTCCCTAAACCCACGGATCATTCGATTGTTTTCTGTATGCCAAATATGTGATACCGAAAACTACTCATCTCACGTTTGCTTTGCATCGCCATATTCATCATCATTTCGTTAATCATGTCACGTCGTGCAGTTATCTTATGTCCTAGCAGCTCATCAATCAGCGTGTCAGCATGGTCCAAGTGCATGGCGTGGGTGCGTGCGTGGCGTTGGCGTGGCATGGTGTGGGTGGGTGGGTGGGCGAGTACACGATCGAATTGTTTCTGTGTGTCGTGTCTCTACTCGTACATCGGTCCGTCGGCTCGCATTTCAGCAAGCATACACCCAGTTTGTGAAGTGTACCCACTCCTTCGGGCTTAGAGTGTCGTCAAGTCGGCAAGCGTCTGGGCACGGATCAAACATTCCAGCGCACCAAGACGTTAGACGGCCTTCACATCCCGAAGCCTCCTTGAACCACAATCGGGCACCTTCCCCGGTCACTGATGTTGGAGCTGCTTGCAGATTATGGCCGCCTACGACGATGCACGACCAGAGATGTTTTTAAGAGCAAGTGCCCACCTCACCCTTCACTTCCGATTGCTAGTTGGTATATCGCATGCGGGTCAAGCTCCTTGTTTGGCGTCACTCGGCGATCAAGACTCGTCCCTGGCCAATAAATCCAACGAGGAAATCGAAGCTGAAATGCGACTTGCACATGAAAAGATCAATTCATGCATGCAGTCGTGGAGCTTAGACGCATCATAGCCTTGGTCCGATGGAGCAGATCTGGTATTCGCTATCCGCGACTGCAGAAGCAAAGTCTTTTTTGCTAGAGCATGAAGGGTTGCACCCTGTTGCAAATGTAGTGCCGAGCACACGGCACGAGCGTCCTGTTCGGAGGCGGACCTGCACGCGAGCTCTCCATTCCTTCACAAGGCTGGCAGTGTGATGCATTCCGTTGCAGGAGACGTGCATTGGACGTGCATGTTCACTTGCGCCTGCGCAAGTGCTCGGCCCAAGCTTCACGCAGAGTTGGGTAAAACAGCAGCTGCGCCAGCGGCGCAGGGCCTGTGCTCGCTTGAAAATGGCCGTGCTTGATTCGGATGCCACTACGTTGAGCTTCAAGACCTACAAGAAAATGACCTACAAGGAGTGGTGTGCTTTCAGTGTTGCAGTACCCTCGCAGTCACGGCACTGCCGCAAAGCAATTGGGAAGACCTGTCGGTTGCCCTATTCGTGGAAGTTGTATTTCCAGAAGCACCACGCAAGATTCCTGCTGCATTGTCGGCTACATGCTTCCTGTTTTAGTAGTAATGGTCAGATCTCCACCTTGGAGGAGTTCTTGGTGGCATTGAGCTATCATTGGCCTGCTGCTGTGCAGTTGGGAACAGCCCCTTGGTGAGTCCAAGTACAGTCCTCAAGACCTCAGTGCAGTAAGGAAGTCCGCAGGAAGTCCCTGAAGAGTCTTGATCGACATCTTTCTCTGAGCATATTTGATTAAACGCTTCGCGTCGTCCGCCTCAGAAAGGCTGTACTTGAAGCAGGTGCATTCTTTCGGAAAGCAACGGGTAGGTCACACAGGTGAGGTCTTGAGTGAATAAGCGCGTTTGGTTCAGAATGTTCGTTCAGTGTCAGTATTTGCTTTCATGCTGAGGCTCTGAGCAATAATGCCACGCGAAAGGTGGCACATTCCCGGCATTATCCCATGGATGTTACGACACAATCGCATGACACTCCTCACCGTTTTCGTATGCAACCTCCCATATGTTGGAAGGGGAATCAAGCTTTGCAACGAAGTACAAGACAGCCCCAGAATTCCCAGGCTTTGGCATCAGCTTCGCGAATGATGTACGCTAGTATGCTAGCCCGTCTTGCCTCGCCGCAAGGAAGCGGCCCCCGAAACCCAGCATCTTTTGTAAGGGAGAGGATGCCAAGCGGGGTTTGTGGGTCACTGGGGGGGCGGTCTCGGCCTCCGAGGCGAAGATGATAACACTTCGGATTCGTGAGCTCCGCACACCTCCCGAGGTCATCGACTTCGTACATTTGCCCTGGAAGAAGCTGGTCGCTAGACAGACAATGGAAACTGACAGAGAAATGCGGGTGTGGGTGTGGGACAGATGAGCGAGAGAGGCAAACAGGCATTTGCAGGAATTGCGACTGTTGTGTGAGCCTAGCTTGTCAACTCAGAGACTTGGTCCAAGGCGGTCGTGAACTTCACGTCGCCCACGGCATGCCAGAGTTGCTTTCAGATCCTGGCAGAAGCAAAGGGGAGGTCGAACATGCTCATCTCGGACTTCAAGCAAGCAGAGCATCAGGGCTTGTCGCAGAACTTGGCCCTCTTTCTCACCAAGGCCATGATGTTGAACTCCTTTGACTCGCAAAGCAAGCCCCACGTGTTCTCGAATGGAACCGAGATACCCTTATCCATGGCCTGTGCCAAGTTCTTACCCCCGGAGATGGCATCGGTGAAGATCTCCGCGACTGTGTGCATGTTGGAATCTCTGCAGCAAGATCACAGGCAAGACACTCTCTACAAGCAGCTAGGCAGGTCCGGTTTCATTGTAAAGTAGTCGATGCACACTGCTAGTTTCATACACATGTTCTGGTCCCATGCTCCGATTTCCCTTTCTCGCGCCTTGAACGCAGCTAAGGAGAAGAAGGAGTTATCGTGTTCCGGCTGTGAGTGTGCGGCACCCAGCACATGTCCGTAAAGCCCAGCCGTCGCAGAGGATTTGCAGCCTTCAAACCATTGCTTTGTGGCAAGGCAGTTCACTGCCTCGGGACGCACATAGGAAAGCCAACGCCGCACTGCTTCAAACCGTTCTGTTTTGCTGCCTGTGGTTAGGGAGTTGGGCTCCGTCGAGGTCACAAGGTCGCGTAACCAACTGCCCAGAGATCCTTGTCATCTCGGCAGCTTGCGAGTTAGACCAACAGCTTGGCATTTGAGGTCCCCAGCCCCTGTGCGAAATAACTGCAAGACGATGCTGGCAGCACCAAGAGCCAGTATGCGAAGTGCGCGAGATCACTCCAATCCAGCTCGAGAGCACGCACACAATTCCCAGAGTGGGGTCCGAAGTCTCGTGTGACGAAAGGCATTGCTAAGACCTTGTCGGTTAAATTGCATCTTTCCTCATCCCGCAAGCCACCAAGCAGAAGCTGAGCTGCAGAAGGCGGACACAGCAAGGCAGCACATACATATGTAGGAAGGCATCACAGCCAACACAGCAGCCAGCATCAAGTATTGGACCCCTGCCCGGGGAGTCCTTTCCAGGAAACGAGGTTTTGTGCTCCGAGACGAGCGTCGCGCGCTTGTCCTGGTCCTAGTTAAAAGAAAAGATATTTTTTTTGCATCAGCACTCATATAGGCGTGTTCCATCCTTCATCTGCTTGCAGAGTGCAGGGAGTCTGGTGCCTGATTCTTTGCTTGCCCAGGTTTGCGGTGATGCGAGATGAGGAGAGAGCAGGTCACAGTGGAGCTGTGCACTTCGCATGCGGATCCAATGGCTGGTAGTGGAGAAGTTGCCTCTATCGGCGGCTTTGGAGAGTTGTTTCACCCCGTTTGAGAAGCCTGGAGCCAGTCGGGGTGTCCGCGCTCCCGGGCTTCCACCAGTCCTTGGCATTGGAATAGGAGAACTTGAGATGAAAGCCAAGCTAGGCCCTAGGCCAGATTCTTCGAGATATCCTAAGGCCACTGTCAGCATCCTTTGGCAAGGCTTCAAACCCCGGTTGCCGAGAAGCAGGGGTTGGACCTGCCAGGCGAGTTATGGACGTGCTTCCTTTGCTCCAATGAGCGAGTTTTTGCGGAGGGTGGTCCAGGAAGATGTGTGTTAAGGTGCCATGAGGTGCCCTGGTTTGTGGAGCAAGCGAAGTGACCAACTCGTATCGCGGCAGCGATGAGCCTGCGGCTGAAACCTCAAATGTAGGTGAAACGAGAGGTGCTGCATCTCATATGGGCTTCTGCAAAAATCGCAAGGGGAGCAAGCACATGCAAGCACGTAATGAGACGTCCAAAGCCTTGGTTCTAGCGGGCAGTTGGCTTTGACTTTAGGAGCTCGGGAAGTCACGCAGCGGGAGCAGAAATGAGGGGAGTTCCCTGCCAAACTCGTTGCAGAAGTCCTGAAGCTAGTGTGGAAATCTGTGGGGCAACATCCGAATCCCCAGTGCTGACCACACGTCGTGCAGCATGTCGAGCTTCCACAAAATCTCTCAATTCTGGTAGGCATGTGGTGTTGGATCGTAGTTCACCCCAAAAAGTCGTGGGACTACTCTCTTCAGATGGTTTCTGACGGCTCAACCTTCAGCACACAATTCGTGCTTGGAGAACAACTGCTAGACTGACAGACATCTAAACGACATGTGCGTGTCTGAAACCATCTTGCAAGATTTACAAGCCACCAGAGCGCATAGTGGCTGCGCACGGCGCAGAAATAAGCCGACACCGGTTTCGGGCACTCATGCCAACTGCCCAATATGACGATTGCAACAAGCGCTGCTAGCCCAGCCCTTGCAGTCCAAGGACAGGCAGGTAGGTCCAGATAGGTCCTTGGTAATGCTGTGAGCTGGAGCGGGCTGCTTGGAGCGGACCCTTCTCGAGAAAAGTCTCACAAAGTCCACAGCACCGAGATACGGCATGGTGACTATGGTGCCGATATACGGGGCAGAGGAACATTCTAGTGCTTCCCTTCCCGAAATTATTGGCACCATGCAACTCGGCATGCTTAGTAAGTGTAGGTCATCTGAGTCGTCCAGAGATTTAAGTTTACGAGTACGCTTCAAAGCCCTAGTTGTTGCTGAAGGCCGCAAGTGTTAGTCAGCTCGTACATCGTATGATTCAAAGCGAAGACTCAGATATTTTTGCACATATGTATGCTGTAGCAAAAGTCAGCAGCTCCCCAAGGGAGGAGCACTTCGCTTCCATACTGCAGGAGATGCCATGAATCCCCGGACTGCGGTATGTATGTCTGCTTGTAGCCGCAGACATAGCCTCTCTGCATCACTAGCGAGATGTGGCCAGGGGTATAGAAGCTGGGGCAGCCTCCCGCCACAATGCAGTCTTCCACACGATGTTGGATAGCCTGACGTCAGAATCAACAAAACCGTTGCAGAGAGGTGCGAAAGAAGGCTACTGACAATGCTTTCGTCCTGGAACAACAGCAACGTTTCTCCATCTGCAATGTCTCGAGCACCTTGCACTGTGCAAGATCATAACAAGTCAGATTAGCTGATTAGTTTTGATCGGAACATGAGATTAGATGAGGTGCTCACAATATGTTCCCGGCATGCCCAACACATCCATGCCAAGCTTGTAGACTCCTAGATGCGATACTTACTCGTCCAAGTCGTCGGTGTTGCTGCGGCGCCGATTATGTACTGCGCTGGTGTCTAAACTTTAGTCTTTAATTGTCCAATAGCAGCTGCGACCCAAAGTCTTCAGGCTTGCAATTGCAGTCTAGCTGCAAAGACCCTACAAGTTCTCCTATGGCACAACGTGGGATATAAAGATGCTCGGGTAGCAAAACGACGGCTTCGGGCTGCAACTTCTCCACAATGGTAATTTGCGCGGTGCGAGGAGTTGAAAGACCGTGACTTCAGGCAAATGTTCGTTGCAAGGTGCCCAACGACGTAGCATGTCCAGTTACGTATGGCTCTGGGTGCAGGCGATCAACAAGGCTTCCTAGCCGGCTCCCTATCCCGCTGCCTCTGGCCTCTGGCACAAATTTTGGGAAACTGGGATCGGTACATGCTTCAGCATCACCAGTTTTGATAGGCCGGTTCCTCGCTTGCAACATATCGTCTCCTTCAGGCCTCGGTGGAGCGATCTTGCCAGGCCAAGTGGGGTCTGAATCCTGAACCGATTGAACCGTGAACATCCGTGAACTGCATTGGAACGACAGGCTTTCACCACACCGATGCAGCACCCGGCTGCAGGGCCAGCGAGCAGCTGCAAGTCGCGTTGTGAAAAGTGTGTCCCCGAAAAGAAGAGACCCAAGAAGCTTACGATGTGCTCGTGGTAAGAAACTTCGCACGGAGAATTGCATTCTACTCGTATCGTCTGGATTGATGTGCCGGGTCTGCCCAAAGAATTTCAGCACCTGCTTACTGTGTGTGTGTGTGTGACAAATCTCCGTTCAATGCTTAAACGATTTCAGATGCATGTTTGTGCAACCCTGTGATCAGAATGTTTGGATGGTGCTAAGCTCTATGTTCGGTAACCAAGGGCCCAGGGCCAAACTGGACTCAAGGCTTGATCAACAATCCGCCACGGGATCCCGGTGCAACTCAAGCAGGTACACAGAAGCGCGTCCCATTCTTGCTCCGCCACATCTCTCATTGGACACATAGAGATCGGCCGTTGCCTCCCTGCACTGATTTATTTCAAGGTTGGAGGCTGTGGATGAATGCATAAGTTTGTCCTCCTCCCCTGCCTGCTTCCTGCACACGCGAGGGCCGTTGCCACTCAATGGGGGTCGTACTGTGTTGGCAAGGCAAGTGCATGTTCCCGCTGCTGGGCTCGAGACTTGTAGTTGATCCATGGCATGCGAGTCTTTTGTGGCATGGGGGGAGCTAAGGCAAGGTCTCCCCCGCAATTATCCCAAGGCCCTTTGTGCTATGGCTATGCCCCCCAGGCCCTTTGGATCCCCCGAAGTCAGCCCCAGCTGCAAAATTGTGTCGGCCTGCAGGCCTTCCTAGGATGACAAGCCTGTGGCCCGCCATCTCAGGGAAGCGCAGCCGGGAGGGCGATCCCTCGGAGGTTCTTGTGATTCCGAGGGCCTTTCCCATTTTACTTGACCTGCTTCAAGTCCTGGAGGCATCACGGCCAAGCGGTTGGCTTCCGCGCATCCTTCAAAACGCCGAATCTCACGAGAGGCAGTGGCAAGCGACTTTTGAGAACTCCAGAACGATTCCTGTACCAGGGACGACTTCCACCTGATGGACCTCCGGCTGCAGAGCCCCTCGAGAAGTCGATGCGGGTCACGCGCCCGATCAAATCAGTCTGGGCAGAGTACGCCGCAGTCTCAGCAGGCAATAGTGGTTGATGGACTGGCAACTCGGCAGTGGAGCCTGCTGTCCAGGAACCGGGCATTGTCCACTCCGTCGACTTCGACACCGCTCTCATTGCCGCCAATTAGCCGCAGTGCGACACCGCATTCCCCATGGACCCCGGCAAGGACGAGGATGCACAGCACCTTGAGCTGCAAGAGAAGTATCAGCAGAAGTTAGCGGATCGTTTCAGTGCCCTTAAGTTTCGAAACCTTTCATTTCGATGTTCCGATGGCTGGGTCTCTAGCATTTGTACATGTACAGCCACACGCTTCTTCCATCTTGGCTGCCGGAACCAGCTTGCATTGTAAGGCTTTGACCGCGCCGGCTCTGAGACATCCACCGTAAGTCCCAACTCGCTTTATATGAGCATGCCGCCTGGCAGCATTGTAACCTGCTTCAGGTTGTCGGGCATGCCAGATACAAGCACCCCACCATGCTTACCGTTCTCACAATTAGGTGATTCTGACTTACTTTCCTGCCATGACGTGACGATTGCGTTTGTGGAGAGATCGTGAGTTCCTCCTTGCGGGTCCGAGAGCTGGAGCGGCCGCAGGATTTCTGAGCCAAGGTTTCCATCACCAGCGAATCAAGTCGGCACGCCTGGAAATGTGGGCACTCCACACCAAGCCAGCAGCAACCGGGGCACGCCTGCGCATCGAAACGGCCCAAGTCCAAGCGTCCTGGCAGATGTTGCTTTGTGGCTTACACCAGGATGTTGCTGAATCCCAGTGCTTGTGACCAAGAGCATGCTCACTGAAAGCTCAACGTGCTGGAGAAAAAATGTAGCTCTTCCTTGACCCAGCGGCCGTCCAGCTGTGAAGCAATCATCACAAGGTCCTCATCAGTGTGCGAGAAGCCCCGTCATGTGGTCGGACGAGTACACAGACAGATCTTTGCGCACCTTCATGGTCGGCAAGAGCCGGAATCGCTTTGTATCACGGCTGCAGCAAGATCAAGCAGATATGTGAGAAAATGTGGAGTGAGCCACTTGCTGGTGAGGCCTCGACGGACCCTGGCTTGTGCGTGCTGTTCGTCCTCTACGCTTCGTGAGCTCCCGAGTGGGGTTGACGGGGCCTAAGTCTGCTGCGACTTGCCCGCCAGAGCGAGCTGCAGGCCTTTGGCAAATTACTTGCCGATAGACTTTGAGTCGGAGATTGACCGCATCGTGTGCAGCGCGAGGGATTCTGGAAGACTGCAGACCGGGCAGGCGGATTCTTCCTTGTTTCCCGGTGTTCAGAAGCTTGGAAGGTACAGGTTGAGTAAGTCCCAGTCCAAACCAGCTTTGTAAGTTGAAAGCATAAGCAAAAAGCACACATTCGGGTTCACACCAACCACGCGATTCTCATGCTGATGATGGCTGATCCGTTCTAAATGCGCTATACATCAGATTAATCCAGACTCTGTTGGCATGCACTCAGAAATGACATACGGGCTGGCATAGGCCTTCCCGTGCAAGTGGGCATCGCCCCAATCGTACAGCAAGTTTCATTTGGGCGCTGGCTCGCTGATATTCAAGCGTCATCAATTTGCACTTTCGTTCCGCTTTAATTAGTCAAGTAGTCGCATGTGCCTGATACTGTCCCGGGAAAAGGTCCGACTCAATGTTGGCACGGCTTCCTCTTCCTCGTTGACTAAGCTGCTGACGCTGTCGCACGCGCAAAGGCACGGTTTTGAGGATCGATTGTTTTCAATCCTCTGCCATAGAGCAGAGTCCAAGAGTCCATAGGACCAGTAGGAAGTGGAATTTTATTCTTCGCGCGGGTCGGGTCCTCAACAGTACACTTAAACAGCGACGAGGCTCTCAGCCAGAGGCAGCTAGGGGCACCGGGCACCATACGAAGCCACAGAAGGCTTCACGACTCTACATGCAGTTGTTGATCCCTCTGGCAGGAGCGGCCTCATCCTGCATTTAGCAGCCCATGGCGACGAGGACGAGCGGTCGAAGTTGGCCAAACTTCTGGTTGCGTCGTCCCTTCGGTCCTTCGCTCGACATGCTCCGCTGATTCAGGCTGGTGGTCTCATTCTGGAGAGCACGAAGGGAACAGGAGAAGTCCATAGCTGCAGCCATGCGACACGGCTGGCAAATTCACGGAAGCAGACACACTGTCTTCAAACATGTTCCGAACAGTCGCTTCTCGTCATCGGTTGTTTCATTAAGCAAGCGAGAACGAAAATCAATCTTACTGGACGATCCGGGGGGGAGAGACGGCAGGACAGCAGCCATGTACACCCTACTAGATCGACTCATTGTCAGGCGGTGTGAACCCTTCTAGGTGAATCCTAGCTTGAAGATGCTTGAAGCCTTGAACCGAATTCTAGCCAAGTTTACCCTGGAACACCCTAAGGCCCTTGCTTTCGTTGCCGGCTTCTTTCGTCACCCAATTCGTCTCTGGCATTTAAAGACTCCTCTTTCCATTTTCCGCACCTCCCCTCGCTTGTTGGAGGCACCGCGTTTTCACTGTTGTGCCTGGAAGTGCATCCACGAATTTGAGCTCCTGCGCTACGGCCGACCTGACTGATCACCAAGGAGAAGCTCAGAAAGATCTTGAACGTGGGGGGACGTGGCCTGCGTGGTGTTTCTCTGGTCTTCCTGAGTTCCTGCAGCTCAAAGAAACTTGCACAAGCTGCTGGGATGACTTCAAGATTCCTGTTTGCATATCAGCGAGGATGATGTCGAGATTCTCCCGACTGAGGTCTTTATCGACTGCGGCTGTCAGCACGTTATCGCGACAAACAGGACTGCAGACGTTGAGCGAAGTACGAAAATAGCAACTCATTCGTGCCCGTGGCTGGTGCATTTCGGGCTGCTGTCAACGGTGGATTGACTCCATGTAGACCTGAGAGGCGTTAGCCGAGAAGCCTGAGTCCAAAGGTCAGCGAAGTTTCATTTAAAAGAACATGGTATAAATGAAGTGCGAGTTGAAAGAACCCCTGCGAAGTGGGCTTGGGCAGATCATGTGTGCATCAATGCATCAAGCCATCTCGAGCCACACCCTGATTCTGCAAAGTTTGTCTAGTTGTCGGCAAACACGCTAGCAAGCATCCGCCACGATCCAGGACAGTTCTCGATGCCACCGCGCGAGCTTTCACTGAGCGCTTCTACGGTGCCCTTTTCGTTGGGAAGTCGCTTCGTCGGCGTTTGAAGTCTTGGATTCAAGGGACCTCCGGATCGGAATGGGTACACAGGCTGTCACCTGGTCGGACAAGTGGGAGTCTGAGAGACGGGCACTGAGGTCGATTGCATCAGCTTTCGAGCACACGAAGGAAGCGCTGCTCGCCAGTTCGCACCCCGAGGCCGCTCTTGAATTGTGGAGCTGAGTTCCCAAAAAAACGCAGCCAGCTGGTTCCAAGGTGGCAGATCAGTCGAATGCTTTCCTCTTGCTCACGAACCATGACAGACTGGAAGGCGCCTGAACTCGCGAGCTTCTACATTCTAGGCCAGCATGCATTCCCTTCAACACTCGCCAATCTTCGAGAAGTGTCCCGACATGGCCGCCAGAAGTGCTGATGAGTGCGTCTTGCATTCGGCAATCGAATCCAACCCTGAAGGCGGCGACTGTCCGTGCACCGGCGAGGGCGATGGGTCGTGGCAGCTCATGGAGTGTCTAGAGAGGCCGGCAAACCAGACAACAGGTTCAGCTCGCGACTCGCGAGGTTACACAAAGATAACGAAGAGTTAAACCAACACATCTCGGAAGAGATCATGATTGGTAGTTGGCTGGGTTTTATCATCTTTTTGCAGAGGGGAAGGGGGCAGTGCGGGCATCCACCTTCAGGCCGTCGTCGGTTCTCAGCCAACGCGACACCGATATCGAGGGCTTCCAGGATGCAGAAACTGGGTTCCGGGCCCCACGACTCAGACTGTCCCAGAGAAGTGCTTTGACTAGAGAATGCCCTGGACTGTCCCTGCCAGGAGGCATGCAGCTTCCAGGACGGTGCAAGCATGTGCAAGCGAGGCTCATCGGTGCAGTTGCCGTGATTTCTATTGCTCCAGGACAAGCTGACGTTCCTCCCGCCCCAGGTGGAAGACTTCTTTCGTCCACCGGTCATGCAGCAGGAACGGCACCATGGAAAGCTTTGCATGGCTAGCCGGCAGCCCCCACACCTGCGTTAGGTCTTGATGCTTCTTCGTAACCGTCGAGCCTGTGCTCTACATGGCCCGGAGGCGCAAGGGTCACTCACGCCTGCTTGAGTGCAACACGATCACTAAGCTAGCTGTAGCGGAGGACATGAAATGAGAGTTTGCATGCGTGCTTGATCAAGCGTTGCAGGGTGTACAGCTGTGTATGCTTGTCTCACCAGGATTCGCCTGATTTACGATTTCTTGGTTGTTCGTTTCGGGTCCTGTCTTCGTGTTGCTCCACTAGTATACTCTCACGCCAATCATGGCGGGTGCTCTTGCGCCACGCCCTTGCTTCATGCGTGCTCATTTCTGCAACCCTTTCAGACTGCTCCCCCTTTTTTGCCCCGAAATCCGAAAGGGACGCTGTGGGGGCCCAATTTTCCCACACTCTTTTTGCCACCTTCGGGCAAATCTGCGACTGTTGCCGTTTTGGCAGTTAAGACAGCAAAACCGCAGGACTTGATTCAGGAGAGTGCATACAAGCAACAGATTGCTGCCTGATCGGTTCAAAATGGCGAAGACCTGGGTTGCATTGGCCGAGACGCTGCATGCTGACAGCGAAGCACTGCAGAGCCTCCCGCATCTAGCAGGGGACCCCCTCTTGTTTTCTTCATGGATCGTGCAGCCAGTACCTTGCAGAGACACAGCGGTGTATGCTTGTGTCACCAGGATGCGCCTGGTTGCCCGCCCCAGGGTGGAAAACAGACGTGGAGAAGTCGCCACCGATAGGGCGGCCCAGTGAGTACACGTGTGCCCACCACCCATCGGCACGGATTGGAACGGCAAGGAGCCCCGCAGGAGCTCCGACACGTACTTCGTGACTTTTGTTGCTGCCAAAAGTAGCTTCCTGTGCGTTTTCGTGAAACTGCAATAATACAAGTGTGATTCAGTGCCGCCGCTATCGGCTAGTGATGAAGAATTCAAGCACAATGTTGCATGTTAGAAATGCACGGATGGCCGGACGGCCCCTGCCTTCCTTGTCCGGGCAGCGTGGAGTGTATTTCGTTGCCCTCACAACTGACAGGGCATCGGGAAGACCGCACTGGGTGTGGAAATCGCCCGATTTGCTGCGAGTCCGGGCAGGCTCGATGCATTTTGCGTTTCTTTCTTGCGCGATCCGCTTCTGTGTTTTCAGGCTGTTTTCAAGCAACGTGCTCCACGTCCAACTGGATCAGAAAAGCAGAGCTGTCAAGACTGTCAAGGAGACTTGCCACCTGCGTTGTTCTCGACATTGAAGCCTCAGGAAAGCCTGTGAGATAAGTTAATATTGATGTGCGGCACTACTTTCCACCTTCACCAGTCCTGATAAGACTTGCACAGGTCTTCGCCGGACTTTCTGCTAGCGTGGACGAAATCATTTCATTTGAGGTATATGAGATGTGTGTGCCAGTGTTTCATGTCGCACCAAAACATTGGCAACTGAACAAGCATCGCATCCAAGATGAGCATTTCCGTTTGGCTTCGCGAACAAAACACCATTTGTCGATTCACATCAACCTTGTGCTTCGCTTTGGTCTCGCTCTTGCTCATGTACACATTGGACAATCAGTGATCAGCTGCTGTAGCCTTCCTCTATGGGCGTTCAAACATGGCCAAAGGCGTCTCTTAGCGCCGATACGAAAAACTGGCGTGTCTCCTCCATGCTCCTGTCTATTGACCAGGAGTGCGTCGACTTTTTCATGGCCAGGCGCGGAGTTAACATGCACATGGTATCGCAACCACCGTCAGACGGGAGGGACAGGATTCGCTGTCTTTGCGATGAACGTGCAGACTAACTTGCCGCCAGGGCTGGACCATGCTCGGTGGCAGAAGCGCCGGAGGGTAACAGCCGCTGTGTAGTTTGGCAGCTCTAACAGCTAGAGCGGCGCCTTGGCAGTTCATTGCAGTTAGTTCACCCTCTTTACCGGCCGACATGCGGGGTTTGGAAAATGCTGTTAAAATCATGGCACTTCCGATGCCGCAGTTTTTGGGACAGTTTGCACCAGTGTTTGCGTTTTCTTTCCACACCCCAGCTGTAAGGTTCAGATCTCATGCACCAATCCTCCTGGTGCTTGACGACGAATGCCACGCTCTGGAACAAAGCAGCTCTTTGCGAGGCCGATCGCAAGTGTGCTCAGTTCATTGCTGCAAGCAGGCCCATCCATCGAGCATGTGCACCGAACTAGATTCACCGACTCTGCTGCCCGTGACACAGAGGGGGTGAGGGACGGACATACTTGCACCAGCACAACTTCCTGAATAAGAAGTGCCCTCAAGTCAAGCTGCAGCAGGTCTGCTGGCCGAAGTGCTGCGCAAGACTCATCGTGTAACGCTGCTGCTTTGCTCCCGATCCCCATTGCACGAGTCATTGGCGGACACAAAGGTAGTGCGACTTGGTTTCAGAAACGACTAGACAGCAACAGCCAAAGATCGTGTCAGGCAGAATTTAACATCTCATGCCAATAGTTGAAGCTTTCATGCTGGAGATACAATTAGTGAGATCCTGTTGAAAGCATCGTGAGAGGGGGGACATGACAGCATACTGTGAGTCGCAAACGAAAACCCTGCTGGTCGAAGAGTTCCCTGAGCCTCACTCGGAAATCCCAAGGAACATTGAGCTCGCTGGGCTTGACGAACAGAGCCACTGCGGCAGTTCAGGAATAGCTCTAGACAAAGTTACATGTCTGGTGTCATCAAACGGGCGTGAACTGGCCACGCCCCCAAGAACATGCCCGCAGATAGTCGACAACTGAGGCGATGTGCTAGCCTCCTGCTACGGCGTGTGCATCGCCCGCTGGGCCCAGTGCCTGCCCAGCACTCCAGGTTGCACTCACAGCCCCAAGCACGCCCGGAACCAGCAAGCAAGAGCATGTTGCAATCAAAGAATGCAAAGAAGACAAACTCATATAGTTATTCTCGTACATATATACAAGATGGCTCCGCAAGGCGGACTTCCTTGATTCGGAAAATCTCTCCGAGGCGCCCCGTTGATTTCAGCCACGTTTCTCGATGTCAGTTGCTGCCAGCGCTCCTGCGAAGAAGCAGCCTGCTGCAGCTGCAGCTCCCGCTGTGAGTTTCCATGACTTAGCTCTAGGAGCAGCAGTAGAAGGAGTAGTTGCCGTCGCAGTCGTCGTCGCCGCCGTCGTCGACGTTGTTGCAGTTGCAGTTGTTGTGCCCAGTGCCGGCCCTAAGTCGCCACGCACCGCCGAAACTCGCATCAATCCAGCGTCACCTTGCGGAAGCGTATTGTCAACCTATACTGTGAGAACATCTCGCATGCTTGTTTGTGCAGCGTCACCGGGAAACGTATTGTCAAGCCATACAATGCACCCACTATTGCGCATGACATCTTGCGTGCTTGTTGTGCAGCGGCAACTTGCGGAAACGTGTCAAGCCATACAAACCACTACTGTGATAACATCTTGCATGCTTGTTTGTGCAACATCACCCTGCGGAAACTTGTTGTCAAGCTATGCAGTCCACTGCTGTTACAGCATTTTGCATTTATGTGCATTCTCTGTTTGTGCAGCATCACACTGGGGTTTCGCGTTTTCGTGCAATGGCTACTACCAGCAATTGTATTTGTGAATGATCCTACTGTTTCTTGTGAAATCGAGGGTCTACAGGGGGACAGGCCGCTGTTGATGTGTTGTGACGCCACTGACCTGTGTTTGGAGTTGTTGCCTGCGGAATCGAGCGTTTGCATGGGAAATGATAGGTTTGATGTGTTGTGATGACACGGACATGTGTCTCGAACGGGTGCTTGTCCGTTTCGGAGCTGGTCAAGTGGCCCTGTTGATGATAGGTCCGGCTCATCCAAACCAGTCTCGGTCGCACTGTTTGGCACTGGGTACACCCACGCACGCGCGCCCGCACACACACACACACGCACACTCACACTCTCTCATACGTAGGACATAGAGACAGAAAGAGACACACCTACATGGGGAATGGCTGGTTTGGACGCGCTATGACTGCTGCGTATGATATAGTTTCTCGCGCGCTTGCTTGTGAAATCGAGCGTCTACATGGGCGAATAGCGTGGATGTACTACAATGTGATGCCACTGATGTGTGTCTCTCGCGGGCGCTTCTGAGATGGATGGGATCATGGCTGGTTTTGGACGTGCTATGACTGCTATGATATAGTGTTTGCCGCGCTTGCTTCTGATTTCGAGCGTCTACATGGGGGAATAGTGTGGATTCTGTGGATGTACTGTCATGTGATGCTGCTGATGTGTGTCTCTCGCAGGCGCTTGTGAACTGGTGCGTCTACATGGAGAATGGCTGGCTTGCATGTGCTGTGATCGCTATGATATAGTGTCTGTCGCCCTTGCTTGTGAATTCGAGCGTCTACATCAGTCCACATACGAGAATAGTGTGGATGTGCTGTCATGTGACGCCACTGATGTGTGACGAGGAGGAGGAGGAGGAGGAGCAGTAGGAGCAGTAGGAGCAGGAGTAGGAGTAGTGTAGTAGTAGTAGTCGTCGTAGTAGTAGTAGTAGTAGTCGTCGTCGTCGTCGTAGTAGCAGCAGCAGCAGCAGCGATGGTGCAGGGTTATGCTTATACACCGGCCGCTAATCAGCATTCAAGCATGGCACCAGGACAGAACGCGGGCGCAGCTGCGGCAGGCAGCGCAGGTCGCAAAGCACCTCGGCAAGCAGAATGTGTTCAAACATCAGGCGTTTGTAGACAAGACAAGAACGCAGCAGCCACACCAATATCGGCCAAAATTCGAAGTCACTTGCAAGACTCGGCGTCCACATGGACTTCCCCAAGCAATTCTCTGTCATGAGCGGCTCTTTCACTTGTTCCCTGAGGCTCCTCGTTGCCAGCAAGGTCCTTGTACCACTGGCTGGGAATCCAGGCCGGGGGTCATCAACCGGAATGGGCACGGTGCGCGACAGTTCCCTTTGAACCCACTGGCAGGACTTGTCCGGCAAGTGGGCTCTCAAATCTACCCCGGTGGACCTCCACTGCGAGAGGTGGTACAGGAAACGGTGCGCCGCTGCAGCCACGTTCCCCTTTGACGAACAATGCTGTTGAAGGTTTGCAACGAACATTTTCCAAGAGTCTCTGCAAGGTCCTCTCACCGCCACCACCGGCCACTAGAGACGTGAGCAGAAATTCGTTGCAATGAGAAGCATAGCATCCTGGGGCCATGGTGAAACGGCTGCACGGCAGATCCCCGGAAGCCGCCCCAGCTTCCGAAAACGGGTGCATGGCTGCCAGTTCTCAGGAGATGCAGGGCCGTAGAAGGTAGACGAAAGATATGAGAAACTGGTTGAAGGGGCTTGCACAAAGTTTCTGCCAGCAAGTGGCACAGAGTAGCACTATCAAAGTTGGCTTCTCCATACCAGCCCCACACATGGTAGTCTTGTGATGCATGTCATAGCCTCACCGCATCACGATGATGCAAGAAGCATCTCCTCCTTGTGACGTTTGCGCCCTTCCCTCAGTGAGTGTTCGCAACAACTGCGGATCGGGTTTGATTTGAGCGGCCTGAGACAAAATGCACGGTCAGATTCCTCAAGCACAGTACAACTTGCACTCCTGAATGCGTTTGACATCTTACAAGCATGCTTGCCATGCTGTCCGAGTAATTTTCGCTCAAACGGCCTGTCCTCCGCGTCGTGCACTGTTCAGAGCGGACACTCCGTGTTCCAAAAGGAGGCCACATCAATATCTGGCAGTGCCAGATAAGATCGTTAGTCAGAACTGAGATCTACCATGTTCGAAACCTCCACGACCGGCACCCGTGGCAGCAGGGCTTTCTCCTGCCGAAGGAGCTGGTTGCTTCATTGTCATTGCCTCTATGGAACACAGGAGTCCAAGCATCCGAGTTGCTATGCACTGCCTGGTAGGCCAACTCAGGCTTGTACAGTGCGCTTTCGCAGCCGGCAGGGGGGAAGCGCGGCCACCTTGCCAAAAAAACTGCCGGGACATCCTTTCCTGCGTGCGCAGTCCGTCTTGCAATCCAGATACTTCGATGTTTCGCATCGCTCTGTACGGCAAGCTGTCATACATCCTCTGTGCACCAACTATTTTAAGCTATCGCATTGAGCTGTCAAGTCTGCGCGCGCACCCGCCTCGCTCTCCCGAAGTCAACCACAAAGGGCGACTTGCCGGGGATGTTTGATTTCAGATGCTTCATTGGGCAAGGTTGGGGAAGCTCATTCAGACACAGGACTGCTAGAGTGACCTGGCCTGAGCTGACCTGACCTTGGCTGTTCAAGCACCCTTGGAAAGCTGCATTCTACCGAGAAGGTACCAAGCAGCAGCATGAAGCTACTTCGTTTTGAAACTGCGTAGGGCTTCGTTCTGTGCATCCCGTGTGCTACGTGCCGTCGGCCGTGGGCTTGTTGGAACATTGCACTTTACGTAGAAGAGCTGGAGGGTGAGACCGAGCTGCTCTCCAATGTCTCCCGTTTAGGATTCGGTAAGTGGAGATCTTCCCCTCTTGTTCGTGGATTTCAAGAGACCGAGGAGATCTCTAGAACACATTGAATACATCGCTTCCCTTGTAGGACAAACTAACCGACCTATCCCTCAGGCATGTTTGGCATAAGTTCCTCGATTGCAGAGCCTGATTCTCAATCAGATGAAGGGATCTGCAAACACTGACCCTTGGCACTTCCGTGACCGTTTGCCTAGTCCCAGCTGGAGATGCCAGGACTGGTGCAGCTCATGCTTTACATGAATCCAGAGTCGCTACTGGTAGCAAGGGGACAGCACCACCCTGGGCCAGCGAGGATGCTCGAGGTCAGCCGGAGCTCCCTTGTCATCGCTTCCCCGGCGACCATCCTGTCTAGCGATTCCGAAACCCCGATGTAGCCTAGGGGCAAGCACAAAGCTGGAAGATCGAGGATGATTATGATGGAAGACCATACAACAGATTCTCATCTCGGCGAGCCTTTGGTGAGCGTCATCTTCCAGGCTTTCCGACCTTTTTGTTTTCTGGACAGTTTGTCATGCGACCAATCGAACTAGTCAATACAGGCTTTGTTACAAAGCTGCTGCAGATTGTCCAGCCTGTGAGTAAGCATGTGAAAGTATCAGATGTGGATACGAGTTTCAAGGCTTGCCATCCGGAGCTGTGTGCGGTTGTGTGGAAAAAGACCGCCGCACTGGGCCTCGGCGACTTGCTAGTTCAGGGCTGAGGACAGCAGGGCAAGCGGGCAAGTGTAATGTCTCGAAGGGAGACGGACTCAAGCAAGCATGCACAATCTCAACTCACCATCACGAACCGTAAATCCACCATCGTTCTCCAACCGCAAGCTTCAATGCCTGCAGGAAAGTTACGGTATCGCTGCGCAGAGCATTGAAACAAAACCCGTGCTGTATGTTGTCCTCTGGAGACAAAAACAGCTTCTACATGGGGATTGGCATCTGATGATGTGTATTCTCGCCGCTGATGTGTAATTCCTCGAATCAGCGGCCACGTTCGAGTTGTGTGCATTCTCGCGGACTGCTGTGAATAAACTCCACGCTCGCAGCTTTTGCTTGATCAAGCAACCAAGCACATGCTTGTACTACTTCCACCTGGAGTGAATGGGTCCTGTGTTCACTTCACCCTGTTCTCTTCAACAGCATGTTTGTTTGGACATGCTGTCACGTTTGTGCGCGGTCCTCGCTTCAAGTTCGAGCTGCGGGTTGCCGCCGCGGTGCTAACACGCTCATGTCTAACCTGAAAGCACTCTGACGTCATGGCGGAAGCATGTGCAGCAATGGTCGCAGCACACCGGCACATCACATTCATTTAACTCAAAGCGATGTCGTAGATCGAAGCATCCCACAGCGATCCATGCGGTAATGTGACGGCCTGCGCATGGCTCATGTGGCCTTGCATGGCAGCAATCTCCCTCAGCCCCGTCCGCGCGGATTCCCAAAGGAGCAGCGCGCCCCAGGACGGAGTCCGGATGCAGCAACCTTCCAAGAGCAGCTATGGCTGCACAGAGAAGTCGAGCTTGACGTCGCGAAGCACTCAGCGAAGGCCCTCCCCATCCCCGCACCCTCAATCCCAGGATCCTGCGCTTTCATGACTCATGCATTCGAGCAGAGGCAGAGGTGCCCGAGCCTCAGCTGAACTCCCGCTCGATAAACGGTTCAGAGAGGGATTTTCTTGAATGGGCATATCTTTCATGGGACGGCACGACAACCGATTGCAGGGTGAGGCAACGACTGAACATTCAAAACATTAACAAGGCAGGACCAAATGCACAGAGGTCAGCCGCCTCAGCGCAGAGTTTCTTCGACTTTGATGACCTGCCTCCAGCCGGCCCGGATCTCGAAGTCCGCATAGCTGCAGAGACTTTGCACCATCATGGCTCCCGAAACTGCCCAGGCGTGTCCGAGCACATTGCCGACTCCTTGCAGCCACAGGCACCGAAGTCTTGACGAGCCCAGAGGAAGTTTCGATGCGCATGCCGTCCGCGTGTGCGAGTAATGCTAGTGTTAGTTAGTGTTAGTTAGTGTTAGTGCGTGTGTGTGTGTGTGTGAGTGCGAAGGGGGAGATTTTCAAGAGGATGGAAGCATGCTCGGTATCGACACGACATGACTCAACATCGCCGTCGGCATCATCCTTGATCTGACAAATGCCGTGTCCACACATCAGGAAATCTGTTGGGGCTTCCACAAGTTGCACACATATGTACATACATGTACACGTACATGTACATATCTACATGTATACACGCATACTTGTGTATTCCTTTTGAGAAAGGGAGAGCTGTGGATAAGGTCACGGCCACACCCTGTTTGGAACAAGTCACTGCCAGTAGGATATATTCCACAACTCAAGCTGTTGCGTTTTCAGCTAAGTTGCAATCGATGACTTATACATCTTCTGCGAGGTGGTCTGTCGAAGGAGGGTGAATACATACACATTATACATGCATACAGACCTGTATACAAACATACGTGCACACATGATCACACATACAGACATCACATACATACACATGCACATGTGCCAGGAGCCGCGTTTGGAAGATGCGGAGCCAAAGCCTGTGCAAGGCTCAGAAGAATCCGGCCAGATTGTGTCAGGAAGCGGTCTCACAGATTGTGGCTTGATGTCATTGGGCTGAGGTACCAGTAGCTCTTAATCTCCACACGTACCACCTGAAGGTTTTCAGCGACATACATGTCTCCGACGCAGGACGGCTCATTTGTAACTCAGATCCATGGGTAGGACTGGCCATGCCGCATACAGCGCCATTTATGCCCTGAGGCGCATCAGCAAAGAAGCAGCCCAGAAGGCTAACTGAGCACACTGCGCTTGCGATCGTAACTGAGTCGTAGGTAGCCGTCCTCACGTCGCCACTCATGGAAGGGGTATCTGCAGCGTGGCTCGCAGAGCTTTTGGACAGGGACGATGTCAGCAGCGTTGCTTGTGAGGACATGAGTGGCACCGGCGGTCTCAACTGCCCGATGACACGCCTCCTTGTAACCTACAAGGATGGTGGCAAGGCTAGCTTGGTGCACAAGCGGCATGATGCTGACAAGCGTGACATGAACAAACAGCTCGGGCTGGCGAGGGAGGCACTCTTCTACAAGGTGCACTGTTTTCAAAAACCAGACTTATGAGTTTGTAATCATTTACGACAGTGAGCTGATGTGATCGAGCCGGAACCATGAGGCCTTCTCATCCAACGAGACCTTGGGTTCGATACTGCCGAAAGTTTGGCACGCTGAGGGCGACATGTCCACTGGAGAGAAAACCATCATCATGCAAGACCTGGGTGATGCGATCCAGAGCGGCTACTTCTTCGGGCCAGTGTCTCCTCACAACTGGGACAAGGACCTTCTACAGAAAACAAGGGGTTTGTCTGCCAAGATCTCGGCTCTGGACGTCGCGAAGGTCGCTGCCAGAGCAGCAGCGGAGGTGCACGCGTCATTTTTTCGGGATATTGAGCTGGCTAAAGACGGTTTTTCCTGGCTTCGCGGATCGAGATGGATTTCAGGGGAGGGGCAGGCTCTTTGGGAAGCCTACCAGGGGCAAAGCCGAGCCGCGTGGGAGTCCTTGGACTTTGCCAATTCCGGCGTTGCCTGGGACCCGTTTCTGCGAGAGTGCATTGATGCTGCCATCGGACGCGCCAAGACGGAGAACGGTGGATTTTCGTCGTTTTTGGCTTGGATGGAGAAAGCACCATGGAGCCTCGTTCACGGAGATTTCCACCCTGCAAACTGCATGCTATTGGCACCTCCAGATCCTGAAGGTGGTCTGCAGAAGTTGAGGTGGCCTGCTTGCAGCCAACGTGGTTTCCTGCCTATCCGCCGTCGGCATGTGCTTTAAGCTCAACTTGTGCTTAGATTTGTGGCCGAAAGTCCCATGTTCTGCTTCGTTTGTAGCGTTTCTACCCACACTCTTAAGGTTGATTCTGCTGGATTGGGAGAATGTGGGCGTGGGCTCCGGGCCACAGGAAATTGCACAGTTCCTCATCTCGCACATGGATCCGGGCCTGCGAGCTACTGTCGAGTCAGAGGTGCTGCAGGAGTACTACCGCTCGCTAATATCCCGTAATCCTCAGATTGCGGAGGTGATGAGCTACGATGAGTGACTCGCCTCCCACTTGCTAGATTGCAAGATATCCTTCCGCGAACTTCTTGTGACTCGAGGCCCTGCCCTAAACCCTAAACCCTGGTTCAAGACAGCCCTAAATCCTGATCCCTTGTTCAAAACACCACCAGAATCCTCATGAGATTCGACTTTTTTGGCTATGGCTAGTAAAGGTGCTGGCGCGAGTATGTCGCGGGTGGTGCTGGCAAGTGGACCTGGTTTATGCCTTTACTGGCCACCGGCTGCCCTCCAAAGATGACCCAGTACTTTCACGACCAACTACTGGCGTTCTTGAAGACTCACATGCTCACACCTGAGACGATGCCGATGCCTCGCTCTTGATTGCTGTTTGGGTTCACTACGCCGGAATGTCCCCCGCCGAGCAATTTGCCGCTGCGGCCAGTGAGCCACCTGCAACGGCAAGGACAGCGCTCAGGGGAAAGAGAAAGTGCGTGCACGGCGCCAAGCCAGCGTTTGCCACTGTAGTTTCTAACCAAGATCTTATATGAGAGTTGTTCTAAACCCCCGCCTCTTGACCGGACTAAGGGCGCACTTTAATATTTTCGATGCAGGCCTAGGACCTGCTCCAAAGCCAGCACGGTGTGCGACAGTTGTTTGAGTTTGGAAACCCACCCAAAATCCCTACCCCAAAACCTTCCTTAAACCGGATTCTGGACTTGCTGTTTTTCCGGCTAGAAGTTATGGTTTATCAAGACTTCAAGGTGGGAATACGCTTAAAACCGTGTGCGGGCAAGAGCGCACAACGGCGAAGTGCAAGGCGCTTTGCGAGTTGCTGGCTGCAACCCTGCATAAGAACAACCCCCATATGGAGGTTACAGCGAGGTTACGCACATAGGACGGACCAAGAACTGTGAGAGAGAAAGCACACGCAAGCTGTTACACGAGAAGCAACTAGCCAGCAGTGCACCTACTCTGTTCCCGTTCTGCCTGGTGCTACAAACTGGCCGCCAAAGCAGGAAGCAGCTCCTGAACAAGATCAGTCCAATGATGAGTGTGGTTTAATCTTTGATTTTGCCTGAGGCTGAGGTGGAAACAGAGCCACGGGCCGCCGAGAAGCCGAGAGCTTTGCAAGGCACAGCTTTGCAGCATATTTGCAGTCCGCAGAGTCGCAAGGTAGTCGGACGAAGCAACGCTAAAAGAGGTGTTTTTCCACGTGAGTGCCCGGAGGTCATGGCCTCTTTGTTTCCAAAGAACTTGGGCAGAAGCTCGCCATGCTGGAGCCACCTGGCTTTGTTTTCAGCTAGCGCTTTCGAAGGTCAGATTGAGACATCTGGACAGGAGCAGTACATGCTTCAAGGAACCGAATTGTAAAAGAGTGAGAAGCTCCAATTCCAGGCATGAAGAGACTCCACCAGACTCTCCTGGGGATCTGCATGGTCCACTGGATGAGAAGTCTGCTCTGGCGTGGCTTCGCTTGCTGTAGCGGGGGTGGGCGGCAGTGGGTTTCGTAAACAGTCCTCTCAATCACTCAGCGCTCGCAATGCCAAGGCTGCTCCGCGGCCGGGCCGACCCCAACGCTGCGCTGGGCGCACTGCGGCGCACACCACTCTTCGCGGCGGCGGAGCGGTGCCTTGGCCAACTGCGTTGCGGACACCTTGAAGCAGCCGAAACGAGGTGCAACATCAAGCTGATTGACAACCTGCTAAAGTTTCGGGCCGACGTCAATCGAGCCGATCTTGCAGGAGGGGCACCGACGTTTGCTTGACATTGCTCGGCAGCATGAAGATCATGTAGAAGATGCATGGAGCTGCTCCGTTTACAAGGCGAGACACCACTCTTTGCTCTTTGCCATGCGGCTGCCTGGGCTGATGCTTCTCTCCGCAGCCGCCGTGCCGCAGTGCAAAGGCTGCTGGAAGGTGCACTTGTCTGCACGATGGGATCCAGAAGTTGAACAAGTTCACGGTTTACGAGTACCTACAAAAAGTATGGGAATAGCAGCCCGGAGGTTGTGACGAAGTGCCAACTGGGAAAATACGAAGATGCGCAGAATCAAAATTTCAACCGTAACTTGATCAAGCATGAAAACCAGGCTTTGGATGTTTTGGTGCCTGCATGAAGCAACCAGCCTTCATTGAGCAATGACCTGATGGTTTAGTTGCAAGAAAGGCGAGGCTGACATCGATTTCGCCAACCCTCGAGGGCGCACGCCGCTCCATGCGGTGCGCCTGTCGGAGCCGTTGGACATTCTAGGAGACATTTGCACAAGACAGCGAGCCCTGGCATTGTCGCCACTTGGTCCCGAAGCCTTCGCCTATGTATGTTCGGAAGGCAATCACCAGCGGTGATATTGCAGTTCTTTCGGTTTTGCTGGAGGACTGGCAATTGAAGTTGATGTTGAGACGTTCGGCAAGAAGCTTCGCATGACATCCTTGCCACACATTCTGCGAGGATACCGCGAATGTGAACGCACGCGATTTGGGTGGCTTCACAGCCTTGATGTTACCAAGCTGAACTAAGTCGTGACTGAGGCTGTTCTTTGCAAGACCTGCTGAGGTGGGCTGCTGGCCGGGGCAACGCAGAAGTTGTCAAAGCTCTGCTTACAGCTCGGGCCAACACGGCCTCAGCTGCGAACCGTGCTCTCCTCAGCTTTTCCGAGACAAACGCTGTTCTTCTAGTTCCAGAACGGCGTTCCGGACAAGCCGATGACTTTTTTCGCCAACGAAAGGCAACCCGAAATGGAAACAGCCAGGCCCAAGAAGCAAACTGCACCTCGTCCTCAAACGTCGCGCAGCTACATACGGATCCTGATCAATTGCCGAGTGCACCTGCCTCTGACAGACCACCATCGACGTGCACAAACTGCTCTTGTGGCGGTTTTCAGCGACAAAAAAACACCCTGCTACGTTTGCTGTACCGACCGCACCACGCACACTGAGCCTGAGATGTCATATGGAAGAAGGAGCGCATGGCCGGATTGTGCCATGCTGGGACCCATGCTGTCGGAAGCGGTGCAAGGTGGCGAAACAGCCATGCTCTTTGCGCTTACCAACAAGTGCGAGTCGGTGTCGGGCCTGGCCAAAAAAACAGCTCCACAGACAACACACGAGCTCCCGAGGTGGTCCAGACCCTTCAAAACCACGCCGACCAGCAGCCCAGAGAGGCTCGGCGGTGGCACCCGAAGCTCATTTCCCACTCCTGTCGCCTTCCGGGAGGGCAAGGCCGCCGGGGCCGCGACTCTGGCTCACTGCAGGCCTTTGCCGTGGGATTCTTGAATCGGGGAAAAGGCTACGGTAGGAAGCCACAGTCCTACAGGTAGGACTTGCCAGTCCCTGGCTAGCATGGATCTTGCTGGCTTTTCCCGTGTGGCAGGCATGGAGATCCAGAGCCAGCTGCATTCATGGGTCAGGCCCTTCTGTGTTAACTGCATGACCGGACGCAGCTGCTTGACGGAGCAATGAATCAATGGCCGTTTGAGCGGAGGTACGTGCAAAGTTCGCACCCGATCTGAGCTCCCATTCCTATGCGGAGAAACCTACAGGGCGCAGCATGCAGTGGCAGCTTTCTAGTGTGTTTTGCTTGTTCTAAGCTGCACTACAGATCGAGTTTTGGAAGCATGTCTCCCGAAATGCCACAATGCTTCGCGCCGCAGCGTTCTGAGTCATCAAGCCTTCCGGAGACATAGCACCATGGTGCACTACAGTGAGCAATGCCCGAAATCTACGTGGACCTTCGCAGAGGACTGCCAGTCAGACACGGCGAAAGGTCGAAGGAATGCAGCTTCTTTGGATCCATCGGTTTTCTGCAGGACCCTGTGGTCGGCCACGAGATGCAGGCACCCGCTTCGTGCGATGGTGTTCACATGAAGATGTTGTAGGTTGACGAAGGAAGCTCCTTGCAAGTCCTGGAGCCAAAACGAGTGTGTGTTACCTTCGCAGGGGCACTGGGGCAATCCTTGCAGCTCACTCAAGCGGACACCTCATGCAACCAGGATGGCAAAACTGAGTTCACGATAGGAATCGGCTTTGGGGCGAGGAGGTTGCATGTGACTACGATGACTTCAGGACAGAAGGGCTTGTCGTTTGGTTGCTTCCCGATGCATCTGCCTGCACGCTAGCTGCGAAATGGCCAGCTCACGATGCTGTTGGGCAAAACAGGGAAAGTTTCGAAAGGGGGTACCGGGGTACTTCCATTGTACAATCTAGGTGGCACTTGCCATTGATGTACACAGACGTCTTTGTCTGGAACAGGCACTCACGGTTGGGAGTCAGCACATTTCTGAGATGAAATAATGGTTGTCTTTGGGCTCCCGGCTTAAACCTAAACAGAGCCTCACATTGAAGCCAGCTGAGGGGGTTTGAACTTGAGGCGATGCCGAACGGCTTCCGCCCTGATGTGATGCTCTGGCGGCTAGTTCTTCGTGTGGACAACGTGGAGGATGACAGCATCTCATTGCGAGTTGCCGCACGTCAGGCCAGGATGGAGCCAGGATGGCCAGGTTCTGGTGAGCAGTCCAGTGCTCGCATCGAAACCCAAACTCTGCAGAGGAAAATGGTCGAATCCCGCCCTGGGCATGGACAGAGCAGCTTCCAGCCTTCGCCTTAACAAGGGCGGGTGGAACCACACAAGCCGTTTGCAAAGCCTTGTAGCAACATGGCTGCAACTTCCTCTGGGTTGCCGCAAAGCCTGGATAGTCATGCACCCATGATGCATGGTGGCTGCTAATCATCAGGTTCAAATCACACTGAGGACTGCCTTTAGTTATTGTGGCTTCCTAGCCGGCTGTGCCGGCAGGCGAGCAAGCTGCTTGCAAACCATGTGCAGGAGGACACTCCACTCCGAGCCGGTGCACAGCCACGATGTCATTCTCAGCCGCACTGAGCCGGTGGCATTGGTGACCTTGCGGCCCTGCAGGATCTCAAACTCGCGGCTGGTGCAAGAGAGATTGTGATGAAAGCCTCGTCAGGGTGGGACTGGCCGCCTTTGCAGTGGCGACATCACAGCAGCGCTGGGCTCTACAGGATGGACGGGTTCATTGAATAAAGAGGTTGCTAAAGAGTCTCCATGGAAACTACCTGCACGTACATATTTTGTGCGTGCCCAGATTCCTGCGCAATGCTGTGCAAAAGGCCTATGCGCGGTTGGACCAGCAGGTCCTTGGCGGTTGCAGGACGGATGGGTAAACTGGCACCGGAATGATGCAAAAGTGCGCAGATCTTCTGCGGCTGCGGAAGGTATGGACTCCTGTTTCCACTGCCGTACAAGCTCCAAGAAGCCTCTTGTATGGCAAGAAGATGCAAGCGGAAGGCAAGCATGACGACCACCTGAGGCCAGCACCTTGAACCTCGCAGAGCGCGGGCTCCAGCAGCACAGCCATGTCCTTCTAGTCTTTAAAGACCCAAGACAGCGAGTAACAGCCATTGTGCAGTGCATCAGCGGCCTCAGGTGTCCAGCACTGAGCTTGCCCATCGCAGCCCCGAGCCCGGAGTTGGACGATATCGAAGCCCACCAGAGCGATCAGACAGGCCCTGCTAGTGCCTGGAAGCAGGGGCCAGTCGCAGATCGTCGTGCCTTCAGGCACCGATGTGTGGGATCCTGGGATCGTCCTCGCTTCTGCGCTCCCGCAGCTCCTTCCGGGATCTGAGCAGCCGGGCTGAGTATGTTCCTGGAGCTGGAGCCCCCAGCTTCAAGACTTGAAGACAAGAAGTCTTGGCGATTCGCGAAAGCACAGAGCGGCACGGCGCCACAGCGCCAGCTGAGCGCCCACGCTCTCTGCGTGTGAGGCGGAATTTGGAGCTGCTCGAGCTGGGAGCGGGCCTTGGTCTCCTCGGCTTTGTCGCCGCCCTCCTTGGCCGCTTGGACCCGGGCCCGGACGCAGCACTTGCTGCCAGAGGGACTATGAGATTTTGGATCAGGTTTGCGCATTCCTTGCTTCTGGTGTTGTGTGGCGGCCAACGCGCACCTGCAATGAGGCCACAGCTGTACCTCTACAGATCTCGAAGCCGTTCATGCAGCTTCTCAGCAACAGGACAGCTGATTTCGGATTGCATACCAGGCATACCAATCGGCAGTCACGTTGCTACAGCTGCTTTGAAAGCGACCCAAGGCCTCTTCTGAGAAGTTTGCAGCCGAATGTGCGGAGCTTCCGGCGCTTACTGGCTGTTGCTGGCAGTGGAAGGCCAAAGCAACTGTTCGAGCTCCAGACCCACCTCCGAGCAAGCGCGCAGGTCCTCGACTGGTCTGAACCGCCAGACTGGGTATTGGAGAGGCAGCTTCCGAGCGGTTTGCTCACCGTGAGATGGGACCTCGTGCAGATGCAGGACATGGGACATCTTGTTGGGGGCCGACCTGCTTTGGTATGCCGTTGGGCATGATGTGAACCCGGCACCCCGGAGCTGGGCTGCCAGGTCCGGCGAACTGCTTCATGTTGGCACGTTGTGGCTTTGCGCACGGTCCATTAAGGACTTCATGGTTCAATGCGAAGAATTAACATCACAAGGCCGCAACGCATTTAAACTTTCCGAGAGGCTTCAGACCCCGTTGCTGCGATTCCTTTCACGGCTGCGATTCACAGAGTTCCTCCTTGCGGAGCGCGAGCGGGATCTCGAGGCCCGGCATTTCTGAGACAAACACTGAGACATAACGACCAGGATTTGATGTCTGCATATGTCTGTGCCAAAAGCAGCCGAATCATCGCTTGTTGCTCTAAGTTGGTCCAGTCTTGGACTGTTCACTTTGAGGTGCGGCAGTTTGGATACCTCTCCCATAACTTCTAGATAGGTTCCTGGATAGACGATTCATGCGATGCGATTTGTCTTGCGCCAGCGGTCGACAGGCCACCGAGGAGTTCTTCCAAGTTTTGGACCCCGGACTGCAATGATTCATGAAGCTCAGTGCAAAGAGTCCTTTGAAGAACCGTAGCAAGAATTGAGTGGAAGATGTCGTTCGTGCTGGTGTGGTCATACAGTTCGACTGAGTGTGACTGAAGAGCAACATGCCGCACGTCCCGACAGCGCTGATCTGCTGAGAACGACCTTACCTTAGAGGGTGGTATGCAACTTAGCATCGACACTTGACCTGCATCGGCGAGAGCTGTAGAGTGGTTGTGAAGATACACGGTGCTGTCGGCGACATCCTACAAGTAAGTTTCACAACCAGCCCCCTCCCGTCACGTTCATACGGCATCGATGGCACACCTCGAAAATCCTCGAAAAAATGAAGTAGGCCTCCTGGCTTGGACGTGTTCTTTCCACGAATTGTTGGTAAGGACCTGTTTGGTTTCGAGGCACGTCGAGTGGACCTGCCCGGCGGCAAGTGCGGCTCCCTAACTGCAGCTTGGAGTGCAGAGTCACACATACGGTGACATACGCATTTGTAATCTATTTCTGTGAGAAACTGAAGCTCATCCTTCGCTTTCCCCTCCCAGCCACCTGCAGGAGGCCGTTGACGTCGCCATTTGGAGCATTCGACACTCCTGCCTCATGGAGCCTTGAATGGAATTCAGGGGTACCGGCTCGACGCTCCTGAGCACGGCCTACAGGTCAAGTTGTTCTCCCGCTCGCCTAGAAGGGGTCGGCTAGGCTGCCCTAAAGCTTTGGGTTCAGATGAGAGCCAGACAAAGGCTTCACTTGGCACTCAGAACGGAGGTTAACTGGCATGTCAAGGTTTAGATCTGGAGATCTCCAAACCTACTGCCCCCGGCCTGGCTTGCCAAGACTGTGCCGGCGGCCATCTGGAGCAGAGATACTGTGACGAACGAGGACAGCGTTTTCAACTTCCCGGTGCCAGGATTACCAGAGACGGTGCGTGCCTGCCAAAGCCTACAAAGCGACGAGTTGGGAGCAGTGGTGTGGGATGCTGCGGTGCTTCTTGCCTGGTTTTTGTGCCAGCACCTTGGCTGCCAAGTAGCCGATTCTTCTAGTCTCTCCAACAACGGTCCTAGAATCAAATTCGCAGTATGATGTTTGCTTGCTGCAAGACTCATTTCGTGCTACCAGGAACGATTGGCTCTGCCACAATGCCCGCATCCTGGATGTTGTTGAGTTTTTGCTGCGGCTTTCAGCGCAAGCCGCAAGATCGAGCGCACCTGAAACGAGATTCCAGAGTCGCTCATACGCCTCAGAGACTCCCATCATCAAACGATATGTAAATTTTCTAATGTACGCACTCACTATAGATTTAATATAGTAAACCTCTTCTTCATCATCGTCATCGTCATCCTCATCACCACCATGTTCGCGATGTTGACAAGAACAAGGGATGGCATCAATGATACTAATGACAACATTAAGAATATGAATCACAATAACAAACAGCGATGATAAGAGATGAGTTATAGGAAGCAAAAGAATCACATGCAGAAAAGCTGCATCTGTGCACATTACATGACAGTTTATCTGTTGCCATCCCATCTTTTGGTTGAGGCATCCTGGAACTCGGCGCCGGCACCGGTCTTGTTGGCCTGGTTGCAAAGGCCTTGGGTGCAGAGGGAGGCCTCCTCAGCGATCTGCCAATGCTCGCTCCGGGCTAAGACAAGGTGGGTTGTATGTTTGGGGACATTTTGGATTTGGGATGGTTTGGGCACAGAGAGAGACCCAAGGGAGGCAATCAGTTTTGGCCAGAACCCGAGGCTCTTTGCAGGTGTATCACAGCAAAATGCTTCAGAGCGCTCAAAACTCCGCGCGAACCGTGGTTGCCTGAGGTGCCTTTGCTGGAGGACAGCACCTTGTCATGTTCAGCCATGCTTGGAACATTACTGCTCGGAAATGTGCACCAGTCCGCAAGCTGCCATCGCGGACATTGCTTGTTGCGCTCCAAGGTATATCTTTGAACGCTGCGTGGGTAGAGCTGGCGCCTGAGCCGTTGGCGTGGGCTTCGCACTTGACACGTGCTGCGAGATTCAGTTCCGTTGTGGAAGCCATCAGGGACATGGCGGCCATCAGTTTGGACTGGGAAGACCCGCATTGTGTGAAGGACATCCGAGATATTTTCCAGTGCTGAGCTCGATGGGACGGGACGATGTGCGGAAACGGAGCGGAAGAAATCCAGTGCCAGAGCTGCAGGCCTCAGCTGCTGCTCCTGGCAGCTGATGTTGTTCATCAGCGAGTTCCCTACCTAGCCTTGCTGGACCGGAAGCAATCCTGCGATCATGCATTTCCGCCCACAAGCATCTTCCACCTAGCAATTTAAGCACGATCTTGTGGCGAGATACTTCTCTAAGTGCATCCAGCAGTGAGGAGACAATCCGGTACATTTGTGACCTCCGAAGCCCGAAAGCCACGAGGCTGTTGCAAGGGTTGATGGGAGGGAATTTCAGATGGTCTGTCATGCTGCCCTGCTCATTTGCCTGTCAATTGAGCGTGCCTCTCAGTTTTTTGTCTCTAACTCTATCTATCTCTCTTCATCCACCTCTCTCTCTCTCTCTCTCTCACTCTTGCATCAATGCTTCTTCATGCTTATCTTGTTTTGCTTCAACCTACCGGCAATCTCGTGGCCTGTGTGCGGTAAGCGGTCTTTTTGAAGCCTGTTGCTGTTTTCGGCCCATTGCATGATCCCTTCCAACCTACAACGATGGCAAATGGCAACCAAACACAGACATACAAATCCCGACAGAACGGAAGTAATTCGTGTGTGGCAAACCCTGCAGAACCGAAGTAATTCGAGCATGGCAAGCCCTGAACACCAAACGGAAGAAGACATCTCAGACTTGGCCTCGACCAAAAGCTGCATCCTAAACCCGCTGAAGCACATCTGGTAAGTGCACACTTAATCGCTGCACATCTCATTTCTCTTGCCAGACTGCTGCTAGCTCACCAGGACCGACAGCCACAGGCCCAGACTTGAACGAAAGGCAACTGAAAGGCAAGGCTTGGAGAGCTGAGGCCGGAGCACACAGACCGATTCCTTGAAGCTGCTTTGGAGCAAGGCAGCAAGGGCCCCGTGCCGCAGAGTCCTTCCCGCCTTTGCTGCCGGAGGCTTCAGTAGCCGTGTCGTGGCGAGACATGCCAACGAGAAAACTTGCTTGGCGAAGCTAGGCATCGAGGTCAAGATGTTGTTTTTATCCTTGCGCGAGCATTCGCACAAAGATCTAGCAGAAACACCTTATGCATACTCATGTCCGCATTGATGACTCAGGATCTACATGCTCAGTTGGAACGAGCCGGAACTGCATATTTCCTCTTTTCAGAGGAAGCTTTCGGTGTGCACAACATTTGCTGGCGCCTGGTTGCAAACCACTGTGGACTGCTCCGTGGAGATTAGCCCCAGCGAGATACAGTTCAGCTGGCACCGATTTGGGTGGAAGCGGCGGTTGCAACTTCCATTCCGAGTGGACCCGGAGGCTGCGAGTTGCACGCTGTATCGGAGACGACGACAGCTCTTGGTCGAACTTCGCCACTCAGATGAGTCGAAGGAGATGTGACAAACTTTGAAGGGTTCTCCGCCACTGCCGGAGCTGGAGTACCTGACGGCAAAGGCCCATGAAGCACCTGCAGAGGGCGTAAGCTGCAAGAGGCCATTTGGTGAAGCTCCTGGAGAGCCCTGCCAACTGGACCTGCCCACAAGAAAGACATCACCAAGAAGCACACGCAAAGTGTGCATGGGCCCTCAGCCATCGTGGCCAAGACAAGGCTAGATGTGAGTCTGACTTTGCTACAAGCTGCTTGACTATGCTTGACTTATATGGGATTGCCAGCTGCAGTTGGTAATGATGTTCAGATATTCAGTGAGAGCATGCAAAGAAGCCGTGCAGGTGATCCAACACTACTTAAATCCCCGACTTTTACTCGTAACATATTCGTTTATTGTGCAAACAAGAGCCGCAAGCCCTGAAGCCAGCAGGCACCGGCCTCCGACTGACTCGCACCGCGTGCACCCTTCACCCTTTAAACTATTCACTGGGGTTGAAGTGTTCAACAGAAATCGTGGGTGCTTGGGTGCAAACACTACGTCAAACCGTCAAACACCTTCTCCTGCCACCTGTGCCGACCGCAGGCTTCAAGCATCTTCAACCTGTACATTGAAGCTCCGTGCTTCGGTGTATTGGACACTAGCGCTCGGTGGCATAGTATGCCGTACCGCCATTGGCACCACCGATGCAGGAGATGCTGTGAGTGGCCCAAGCCACTTCGTCTATGTCTATGTGTTCTGATCCTCGCAGCCTTGACAAGCAGCACTGCCTGCTGGGGGAGAGCTCTTGCGGTCCCCGCTGTCCTCGTGGACACATTTGCTGGAGACTTGGAGCCCGCTGAACCTTCACGGAAACAGCTGCGAAAGGTTTGTCGCAGAAAGGCCTGCTCAGTGGTGTACATGAAGCGTCAACATATGTGTGTGATCCGGCTGTGCCGGTGTGTCGCAGTTCAAGCTTTACTGAAAACATCCCCGGCACTCCCAATTGCCAGAACCTGATTCAGGGGCATCAAGGAACTTGAAAGGCACACTTCACCACAACGACCCTGCAGCCAAGCCCCCAGTCCTTTTAGCCGCACCATATCTGCAAAGGAAAGAACACCGATCCGTACACTTCGGACATGAGAGCCTTAAGGGGCACATGGCGTGCTGTCGCGTTGGACCTGGATGGAACCACTCTGAACAGCAGTCACACGCTCAGTGCCCGCACAGTGGACGCGATTCAGAAGATTGAATCCCGGCTCTTTCGAGATGTTGCAGTCCAGTTGCATGATGTTTGTGGAGTTAACTTCCATGAGCACTTTAGCTAAGGATGCATCAGGAGCCGCTTGTCCCTATCGCTTCAGAGACGTCGAATCTATCGGCTATCGGCCAAAAGCCCAAGGTCCATGTCATCATTGCGACTGGGCGTCCAGTCCTCTCCCTGCAGGCACAAGCGCCCGAGACTCTCTGGAGAGACGTAAGACATCCTAACAGAACACATATAGACTGCCCTTTTTGCCTTTTTCCCTCAGCCCTACGTGACAGAGCTCGGCCTGACGCGACCGGTGCCCACGGTGTGTTTCAACGGAGCCTGCGCGGCTCAGCTGCTTTTTTGTTTTGGTTTTCGAACTTTTGATGCGATGGAGACAGTCTCCAGCCAAGGCGACGCTGGTGGATCCTTGGGGTGAAGGGCAGAGAGTCCTGATCTCACGAGGCTTCGGTTCTGCTGAGTCAAAGATTGAGCTTAGCACAGCAGATCACAGGCTTGAGCCACTCAGCGACAGAGAGTTCCTCGACGGCAGCTTTGGATGGCTCGTTGGTCCACCATTCGCGAAGACATCGCGATGATTTACTCGTTTTAAAGGTACTCACCCACATGTAATGTATCCTCCACTCGTTCGCGCGGCCTCTGAACGACGTCCGCAAAGGTATCCTGCAGCTTTGCGATGACCGGGGCTGGTGTGCCAGTTACTGTCAGGCACATGGCACCTCGGTGGTGCCGTGCCCCGCCTGAACAGGACTAGACTACTAGCTTTTGCATTGTCAGGCTGCTAGCTGCCCTGAATGGTTTCCGATGCACCGACCCTTGAACTTTTGTGCCTTCGGATGTTAGGAAAACTGAAATCCACGAAGAGTGGCTTCAATCCTTCGAGGAGTTGGAAGGCATGGAGCAGGCAAGAGACTCCCGTCAGGTCTCTTGTCACCTGTACTCTTGCTTTGCTTGACATACGTAGCATCGGCGAAGGTCGTGATCTAATTCCATATCCGAATTTTGGAGTCTTGGTCTTCGCACCAAACTTCAGGAGCGCGTGGAAGATTTGTGGGAGCTGCTTGAAACAGAGACGCCCCTCAAGGCACGCGCGATCACAGTGTGTCGACAAAGTGAAGCAGACCAGAAACAACCAAGTGCTGTCATGCCGCTGTATTCTGACAGCTTTCCCACCTGTTCAGGATTTGCTTCAGGTGTGCTCACCAGTAGTGCGAGACGAAGTTGGTAGCAAAATACCGGGACGGGCATGTGCTCGAAATCCGACAATCGGCGATCCTCAAGAACCGTAATAAGCAATGGGAGTACGGGATCGATTATGTGCCAATTTCTCAGTGAAGGTCGTTGCGCTCGCTGAGAATCCTGCGGCACAGGCTGCCAAGGCTTTGACGTTGGCGGGTCGTGTCAGGGACAAAACACGCAAAGCCGCAAAGCCAGTACACAGAGCATCAGATACTCTTGGCCGTGCTGTCTCACCCGTCGACCGCCATCAGTTCAGAGGAGAAACATGAGCATTACGAAGAATCGGAGTGCAAGGCACAGAAGGCTTCTGACGAGAGAAGGGCAATAACAGAAGCTGTGGCACCACATGGTTTTTTGCGAATTGCAACGAAGGGTGTCCATCAACAGCGAAAGTCTTGATAAAAGAAGATGTGCATCACAAACGTGTGCGATGATCAGTGGCAATTGTCCATTGTTGATAGTCGCATAGTCTACGGGACCAGATTGACACGCAGGCTCGTGCTATGCTGCCACCTGGTGCGGCCCACGTGGTGGCAGCCGAGCAACACGTAGAGCCACATGGCAAGGTTAGATTTGATGCGTTTCACATAGCCAACATGGCATTAAAGAATACAGAACACGCGAGCATGCAGACAGACAGACGGACAGACAGACGCAGACAGACAAAGACATGCATGCACACAGACATAGCGACACATAGACACACAACTATGCATGCATGCACGCCTGCAAGGCACGCATTTGCATTTGCATGTGTGCAAATATATACAGTCTCAGTGTATAGTAAGATTATTTGTATTGCAATCTATAAGTATATTAAATATGTATATACCTACACTGTGTCATACGTGTGTCTGTAAAACTGTATAAACACATGATATAGAGCGAGAGAGGTGCAGGGGCGCCTGTCGATCAGCGAGATGTTTACCTAGACATTCCGCAATGATGTCGAGTACTAGTTTCTGAGAATGGGTACCCATGACTAAGCTGTGCGAATCTCGTTCCAAGTACTCCGCTGTTTGGATTGGTGTTACAAGAGTGTTGGTTGGCTTAAGCTCTGCTTTCTCGATCACGAACACATTCGTACCTCAGGTATCTTTTGCACGGAAAGCTTCGATGTGAGACTATTGAAGAGCCGACATTGCCGGAATCTGCTGCTACACCTGCATGGACGTTCTTGCAATACTCTCTGAGTTACATGCATAGTTTGCAATACATGTAGCCGCTACGTGCAGTTAAGCCCCAACCCCGAAACGGAGGGCCCCAGCTTTCCTCAGAAAGCATCAGGTTTTTGTCGGTAGATGTGAGCAAAGGCCGCTTGGATTGTCTTGGCTTAGGCATTGAAATGTTGTAATTCTGCATGGAATCGCGAGAAGGATTCCGTGGAGGCATATAACCATGCTAGCATCAGAGGGCGAGCACACGACGCATGTTCGTTTGTGGATGCTCCCATTGTATTTCAATGCTTGTCAGCTGGTGAGGTGATACCCTTCGAAGACTGTGCACAGAGCATCTGGGAATTCCAATGGAGCTTTTGAAGCATTCAATGGGAGAGCAGGGCGAGGAAGTGTAGCCACAAGTGACTGTCTTTGGGGCTATGACATCGGCTCTTGCTGCACTGAGTTCCTAAATTTCGCATCCCAGATGATTCCCCGCAAAGCTCGGCAGAGAGACATTGCGCAGCATCACTTCAAATGTGCGCTTCATAAATGTGCATAAGGAAGAGGTAATTGCCTTTGGCGACAACTTCAACGACATAGAAATGCACTTGGGTCGCATCGAGCACGGCACACGCCGTCATGCCTTGATCACGGGCTGCGGAGGCTCCAGCTGGCTGGCCAGGGCGTGGCAATGCAGAACGCCCGCGAGGAGCTCAAGGAGGCAGAGGGTTTGTCGGGCCTGATCTGAAAGCCGCAAAAGGCTCAGGAAAGCCATTGCCGCAGGTTGCAAGTAGAGTCAGCGAGTGGACAAACGACGACGAAGGCGTGGCAAGGCGGGCTTCAGCTTTGAGCTTTGTGACTCAAACCTTGGGGAGTGCTGCGTTTCACCTGATCGACGGATCGACAGGGAGCTGGAGCAGCTGTTGGCCTCCTTTGCAGAGTGATGGATGAGGCGATTGCCAGCAACAGCTCTCACGCTTAGGCAGGCGCCCAAAGAAGGCGTTTCGAGGACAGAAGGGTAACTTATGTCTGCCATCAAAACAGTTACAAACACCCCAGAATGGACAATGCATCACAAAACAGGGGTGACCTGTTGGAAAGCATACAAACGGAAGAGGAGGCTTGAACAAGATACAGCATCACGTGAGGACAGGCTGGACTACGGTAGTGTGGAGCTAGAAAAATTCTCATCAAGAAAAATGTACTGTGTAAGAAAAGCGTATCGACATGAATACCGAAATACAAAAACTAAGCGTTGGTATAATTCAGACATATAGTTGCAACATGGCGCGAGTGAGTGAGGATCGACCGAAATTTTTGGGTCGAAGACTGGTGTTTGGCTTTGTTTTTATAAGGTTCATTAAGTCAGCGATATGTTTAATGCGGGAATTCAATATATAAGGTATAATTATATTTCTTGATGAAACTTTATCGATCGATTCGTTGCTTGTATTCGTCGGGCCGATTATTTTGCGATAGGTTAGAATAAAATTAAGGATATAATATTTTTGGTTCGTATATAATATGCCTTTGATTTGAAATTTGGAAATATTCTTTTTTTATTCTGGACCGTCTCGATAAAAATTATAGATTCTTTTTGGATAATTCGTATTTGATTCGTAATTTTGAAAATCTAATTCTTAAATTATATATAAAATTCTATTATTTCTAAGAACTAAATGATTTTATAATCGTCGAATCTCTATATCTAAGGAATTATAGTTATATTTAATTTTGTTGAAATTAACGAAATATTAGTTTTTTGTATATTGTATTTCTTTTTTTTAATATATTTTTATTAAATTTGAATACGAAAATAAAGTCCAAATGATAAATTTGCTATATATAGATTTGATGATTAAGTGATGCTTGGAAATGAAAATTCTTGGGCAATTAAATTTCTGAAAATTATAAATACCACTAAAATAAAAATCGCATAATATAAGAACTATAAGTCCGAAGTATAATTATACGAAAATAGAAAAGAAATAATATTCGAATTTATAGTATAGAATATGATCCTTGAGACTAACTAATTAATTTAGTCTAAAAAAATATGAGAAATTTTTATATTCGTAAAAAAATAAGAAATATTTTAGTATTAAAAATAAAAAAGTTATTTATTTAATAGCCTCGAAAATTTTTTTATTAATAGAATTATTTTTTTATTTTACTTGTTTTTAGAAATCGAAATATAATTATTCGAATTTAAAAAAAGAATACATATTATAATATTTCTATCACAAAAAACCATTTCATTTTTATATTTTTAAAATTTTCGAATATATTTTATTATAAATATATTTCTTATTTCTATATTCTTTATGGATTTTTTTCTAAATTATTCTATGAATTTTCTATTTCTTTGCTTATTCATTTATTCCCTACATCTCTGTGAGGGGTTCTTACTTTTTCTGACGTGTGTCCGCGCCTCCTCCTTCTCTTCTTTCTCCTCTTCCTTCCCTCCTCCTTCCCTCCTCCCTCCCTCCTCTTCCCTCTCTCCTCCTCTTCTCGTCTTCGTCATCTCATCATCTCATCGCCATACACACACAGACACACCTCCCTCCTCCTTTTCTCTTCTTGGTCATCTCATCATCTCATCCACACACATACATACTTACACACACACACACATTCACACTTACACATACCGCCACACACATACACACAGGCTCTTAGAGGACTGGCGGGACCCCACGCGCGCCTTGGGATGCCTCTCTGCTGGCTCTTAGAGGACTGGCGGGACCCCACACGCGCCTTGGGATGCCTCTCTGCTGGCTCTTAGAGGACTGGCGGGACCAAACGCGCGCCTTGGGATGCCCTCCCTATGGGGCCTGCTGGAGGCCACGCGCGCCTTGGGATGCCGAGCCTGTGAGCCTGTTTAGGGACCTATTAGAGACCCCGCGCGCCTTGGGATGCCTTTGTGCTGCCTCCCGCCACATACATACACACAGGCTTTTGGAGGACTGGCGGGACCGTACGCGCGCCTTAGGATGCCTCTCTGCTGGCTCTTAGAGGACTGGCGGGACCCCAGCGCGATTTGGGATGTCTCTCTACTGGCTCTTAGAAGACTGGCGGGACCCCACGCGCGCCTTGGGATGCCCTCGCTGGGTTGGAATGCCCTCCCTGTGGGGCCTGCTGGAGGCCACGCGCGCCTTGGGATGCCGAGCCTGTGAGCCTGTTTAGGGGCCTATTTAGGGGCCTGTTAGAGGCCCCGCGCGCCTTGGGATGCCCCTCTGCTGGCTCTTAGAGGACTGGCGAGACTCCACGCGCGCCTTGGGATGTCGAGCCTGTGGGCCTGTTAGAAGCCCCGCGCGCCTTGGGATGCCTCTCTGCTGGCTCTTAGAAGATTGGCGAGACCACACGCGTGCCTTGGGATGCCCTCCCTGTAAGCCTGCTTGGGATGCCGAGCCTGTGGGCCTGTTACAGGCTCCGCGCCCACGCGCGCCTCGGGATGCTTCTCTGTTGGCTCTTAGAGGACTGGCGGACCCCACGCGCTCCTTGAGATGTCTTCCCTGTGGAGCCTGTTGGAGGCCACGCGCGCCTTGGGATGTCGAGCCTGTGGGCCTGTTTAGGGGTCTGTTAGAGGCCCCGCGCGGCTTGGGATGCCTCCCTGCTGGCTCTTAGAGGACTGGCGGGACCATACGCGCGCCTTGGGATGCCCTCCCTGTGGGGCCTGCTGGAGGCCACGCGCGCCTTGGGATGCCGAGCCTCTGGCTCTTAGAGGACTGGCGGGACCATACGCGCGCCTTGGGATGCCCTCCCTGTGGGGCCTGCTGGAGGTCACGCGCGCCTTGGGATGCCGAGCCTGTGGGCCTGTTTAGGGGCCTGTTAGAGGCCCCGCGCGCCTTGGGATGCCTCTCTGCTGGCTCTTAGAGGACTGGCGGGACCCCACGCGCGCCTTGGGATGCCTCTCTGTACAATACTGAAAAAACCACACGCGCGCCTTCGGATGCCCTCTCTGTGGGGCCTGCTCTAGGCCACGCGCTCCTTGGGATGCCGAGCCCCCCTCTCTTAGATGACTTGGTGAACCACACGCCGCTCCCTGTGCGTCCTTCTGCAGGCCACGCCCCCCTTGGGATGCCGAGCCTGTGGGCCTGTTTAGGGGCCTGTTTAGGGGCTGTTAGAGGCCCCGCGCGCCTTGGCTCTTAGAGGACTGGCGGGACCCCACGCGGCCTGCTGGAGGCCACGCGCGCCTTGGGATGCCGAGCCTGCGGGCCTGTTTAGGCCCCGGCTTAGAGGACTGGCGGGACCCCACACGCGCCTTGGGATACCTCTCTGGATGCCCTCCCTGTAGGCCTGCTGGAGGCCACGCGCGCCTTGGGATGCCGAGTGTGTGGGTCTGTTTAGGGGCCTCTCTGCTGGCTCTTAGAGGACTGGCGGGACCCTCTCTGCTGGCTCTTAGAGGACTGGCGGGACCACACGCGCGCCTTGGGATGCCCTCCCTGTGGGGCCTCCAGCAAGGCCACGCGCGCCTTGGGATGCCGAGCCTGTGGGCCTGTTTAGGGGCCTGTTAGAGGCAACCCAGAGAGTCCGAGAGGGGTTTGGGGTTTCGGGGTGTTCGGTTTGCGAATTTACGATTCAGGTGAAGGGTTTCGGGTGTCGCCTATCGGATTTAAGGCTAAGGGTGTTGGGTCGTCGAGCATAGGGCTTTCGGGTTTACGCCTTTAGGGTTGTGGGGTCCATGGATCAGGTAGTCAAGTTTTAGGGTTCTTGGGTTGTTTAGGGTTAGGGTGAGCCCTAAACCCCCTAAACCCGAACGTTGTAGACAGAGCCACCTCACTGCCACGAGGATGTTGTGAGCCCCGGGCCGACCAGCGGCTCCTTCGGTGTCCTGTGGTGCTGAGCATTGAAACTTAGTTTGGCTCAGGGTTCCGGATTCTAGATCAGTCAGACTCAAGCAGGCATCGTGGGCCTGGGAACTTTGTGGACGAAAGCTTGACCCTCTTCAAGCTTCGAGCGCTTACTTGGGACTCCACTGGAGCCAGCAAGTGCCAAGGGATCCTATAGTATAGCTACCCATTATCTGGGTTTCTTACATGCCCGACACGAACCATAATCGTAACATAATCAAAGCTTCACTCTCGACTGGATAGATACTTAGCACCCTTTGGTGTGCTGTATGTGCAAGAAATTTGAAAAGGGGAAGACTATGCTCCGCTGGCCAAGGGCACTCCGCTGTAGAGGGTATGCCATAAGGAAGACCCAGTCCTGATGTACATCCAGCCGCTCTGAACGGGTGTCGAGATTCAAGACTGTTGATCTTCGTGGCTTGATCGCGAGGGCTCAATTACCCCAGGCCCTACACAAGCCCGACATCCTAGATAGGCCCAGGAGCAGGTGCCCTGACATGTGACAAAGAAACTGTGGGTAATGAGTTGACTAAGCGAGCGAGCTGAGATCATAACTTGGGAGATGTGAGTGGGAATTTACCTACCGGATCCGCGATGTGGACCTCGTCCAATCGTCCAGCTGCTAACCCATGCCTAACTGGGGAAAATCTCGTCAGCCCCACGTCCTACAAACCTGCATACTATTTTACTCTACATCTTTTAGGAACCAAGCTGAGATGCTAACTTGGTCTGAGATATCAACTTGTCGGCAGTTTCAGAGCTCTCGGGTTCGGAGCTTACGGATATGTGCAGGCAGCTTCGGCTTTAAAGCAGACTTGGGTTTGGGGGTCAGGGCGCAGGGTTTCAAGTTGAAGGTTCGGTTAGGGGTGTATGGCTTGGGGCTCAGGTTTCGCTTATTTTGCTGGTCACCTAACGAAATCCGCCTCCTCGCCAAAATCCCTGGAAGCTCGTCCATCTGCTGGGCCTGCTGGCAACTCCCCTCCTAACATACCCAAAAACGTTCAACGCAAGCCGGAATAAAGCCAAAGCACAACCCGAAAGCAGAAATGCACAACTTGNNCCCCCCCCCCCCCCCCCAACATACCCAGAAA